AAAACCACTGGCTTACTTTGAAGCTGAGTTTTCTAACAGGCTTTTATCTAAAAGAGCCAGAATGGCAAGTAATAGAAAGCATTTATTTATTTATTCTGACCAGGAAATAAGTTATGTAGGTGAATTTATTGTGAATATTTACTATCAATACTTAATTATAAAGTGAGGCAGATTACAACTGACACTTAAATCAGTGTAAATTGTTTTTCTAACTACATTTTTATATTTGGCCTCTTTTTTAATTTTGTTTAAAATGGCTAAGTTAGCCTAGGGGTGTAGCTCATTTGCTGAGAATTACAAGGCCTTGAGTTGGAACCTCAGCACCAAAAAAAAGAGTTATTTATCCTCGTTAAACAATAAAAGACAAAATGGATTTCAGAGACTTTGAAGTTTTTATTTTATCAGTTTCCTTATACTAACTATACACTTTCCTGTACTAAGTATAGGTAAGAAAGAGGAAGTTGAACCAATTTTAATATAATTCCATTTGTTTGGAAACTTTTAGATACAGTTTTTTTGAGTAGGACTACATAACTTCTTAAGCATGTTTGGTACCCTTCTAAAAGATTTTTTAACTAAAAGTTGCAATTAGGCAATTTCAGCTTCTAGAGAATATCTGAATTTGGAAGTTAGTAAAAAAAAAAAAAACCCCTTTTAGGCGACTGAAATAGCTGTTGTAAAGCCTTGAGATGTATTATCATATGTATCTATATCTATATATATATTTAAAATTTGATATTCTGGTTTCTTGGTGTAGAAACAAGTTTAATAAGAGCTAAGAAATATATTAAGATATTAAAGGGACAGGGAAATAAGAATATATGTCAGAAGTATCTGTTTCAAAGCAGTAAAAAGAAATTGATAATTAAATGAAATGATGTTTTGTTTACCTAGTGAGACTGAAGAGATGAGGCATACAAGGGTTTTCTCTTTTGTACAAATTAAATAGCACTTTATAGTTACGAATTTTTTTATTGATTGATTGATTTTCATTGGTAATTTTCCTAGGCCGTATGTATGGTCATGATACCAACTCATAGAATTACAATAAATGTGGAACCCTTTGATTGACTAATGTAGAAAACCTTTATGATCCATTAAAAAATATTTTATTGTACTCTAGAATCCTAGCTGATTCTAGAGCAGGGACAGGAAGAATAATATAGATAATCAAGTGCTAAACAAACAAACAATGTCTTCTAAATGACTTAAGGTGGAACAAGTTAAGCAACAAAATAAATGATAGTATTTAGTTTCAGCTTAAAGAATAAAATAGATGCCTGTGAGTCCTTACCATGTAATTAAATGATTACTAGTAAGTGGGGGAGAAGGGACAACACAGAAGAATTCCATATCCTACACGTAGATTTTTACTAAAATACTTCAGGAGGTGGAGCTTAATTGTCCTCTGAGTGTTAGTTGGACTTAGTGACTAATCTTAAGGGGGCTATGTGTTTGCCAGGAGGAAAGTAGTGTCAGGCTTTCTAGGCAGAGCATAAGTAAAGGCATTCAGAAAGTGAGACGTACTGCTGTAGTGTAGAGCTGGAACCAAGGTGGAACTTTTCTGCAGAGATGTGTGTGTGCTGTCATATTATTTGTACTCTCTCCATGGTGCATGGTTTTCAAACATTGGAAGACACAAGAATTGTGTTATCACATTGGGTGCTTTCCTATAAAACAGTTTTACAATTTGACACAGAAATTGTGGGTCTGTAAATAAGAAATTGATAAGCACTCTAGATCAGAGAAGTAACAGAAATAGATGTGATTAAAATTGCTTAAGCCAGGGGCAGAGTATTTGAAAAAGGATCTTCAGTATTGAAAGCCATAAAAAAGAAACTTGAGGAATAAGGTTTGGAAATGCATAGATTTCCCATGACTTTGAGTACTTCTGGAAGAATATGTGTAGAAAAGCCAGATTACAGAGGACAGAGAAGAAGGAGGTGGAAGAAATCACTAGTAGACTGTTTCTTCAAGACATGGGTCAGTGAAGGAAAGGAGAGAGATAGAGAAAGAGCAAGTTTTAGGGGAAGCAAGGGATGAAAGATAAGAAAACTGTGTGTACATATTGAAGGGCAGAACCCAGGGAAGAGACAGTGACTAGTAAGGGCAGAGAGTAAGTAACCACTCTTGGGAGATCCAGAGGAGTTAAGAGGGCAGGCTAAAAGTTTCTTAGGCAAGTATCAGCTTTAGAGGATAGACTCTGCCTCTCAGGAAGGAAGGTTGATGATATGTGTGAAGCAGGAAAGGCATCATAGGAAGTGGCAGGTGCAGGAATGTGTTCCTCTGGTCTGTATGTTCCTCTCTGATGAACAAAGATCTGTGCAAAGATTAAGTGAGGTGTTAAGGGCCTCAGGAATAATTACTGTGTTGAACCGAAAATGGGGTGAACTTAGGACAATAAAAATGTTGCCAAACTTAAATCCAGCAGTATATTACATGGATATTAGGTCATAATTAGCTGGGTGGAGCTTCTTCGAGGAATTCAAGGTTGATTGGACATTAAAAATTAGTGATAACTCACCATATTACTGCCTAAAGTTAAAAAAAAATCATCTTAATTGATGCATTTAATACAGTCCAACTGAATAAAGTTGAACTAGAAAGGGACTTCTCAATCTGGTAAAGAACATTTATATGTATAATGTAGCTTACAGCTAAAATCCTGCTTAATAGTGGAAAAGCTTTCTGCTTCAAATCAGAAATAAAATAAGGGCATTCATTCTCAACACTTCTATTTGATATTGCATTGGAAGTTCTGGCCAGTATAATTGGCAAGAAAAGGAAATAGAAGGCATCTGAATTAGAAAGGAAGAAGTGAAAATGTTTTTATTCATACATCCATGATCATCTATGTACAAATTTTAAGTGGGGAGATGCTTTTTTGTTTTGGTTTGGTTTTTGGTGTTACTAGGGATAGAACCTAGGGCCTTCTCAATCAGCTACATCCTCAGTGCCCCCCCCCCTTTGGTACCAGGGATCGAAAGCTTTTTTAATTTTAAATTTTGAGACAGGGTCTCTCTTAAGTCAGTAAATTGCCCAGGTTGGACTTGAATTTGCAGTTCTCCTCCTGCAGCCTGTCAGTTGCTGGAATTATAGGCATGCAGCCACCATACCCATCTGAGGTACATGTTTTTTAATGGGTCAAAAGACTATTATTATGATTCTTAAAATGAATCTATAGATTTACAGTATAGTTCCAATCTAAATTCCAGCAGGCTGTTTTCTAGAAATATGATGAAGTGATTCTAAATGGCATGGGAATGGAAAAGCCTCAGAATACGCAAACAACTTTGAAAAACAGTAATAAATTGATATACTGATGTTACCTAATTTAAAGACTTACTAGAAAGCTTCAGTAACGTAAATACTCTGATACTGACAGAGGTAGACAAATGTAACAGTGGGGCAGAATGGAGAGTTCAGATATAGATAAAAAGGTCTTGATGAATTTATTTTAATAAGGTAGTGCAGAAAAGTCTTTTTAAGAAATGATGTTGGAACAATTGGAACATATACCAGAAGGAAGAATCTCAAAAAGAGCATAGTCTTAGACATACGTCTGAAAAATATAAAACCTCTGGAAGAAAGCAAGGGAAGCCAGGTGTGGTAGCAGATGCTTGTAATCTGGGAGGCTGAGGCAGGAGAAGTGGATGCTTAGGCCTAGCCTGGGCAATGTATAGAGATTTTGTGAGACCCTGTCTAAAGAAATAAAAAGTAAAAATGGGCTAGGGATGGTACTCAGTATGAAGGTCTTGAGTTAATCCCCAGGGCAGAAAAACAAAAGCAGACCAAACCCAGAAAACAAATGTGTTTTCTTGCCTTTGGCAAAAGATTTCCTTGATACAACAGTAAAGTCAAGATTGTAAAAGAATGAATGGATGTGAACTATAGTTCATAAAAAGGCAAAACTCTGCCAGATGCCCTTAAAACATACATATGTTATCATGTATACATATACACAGAAAAGAACACTTGGCTAGGAGAAACATTTTTGCCCAGGATGTATTTAATTAAGAGTTATATTTTCAGAATATTTGTATATATTTTTTCAAACCTCAAAAGTTAAGAGTAAGAAAAATAATCTCATTAAAACACCAGAAAAAGACTAGTAATTCACCAAAGAAATGGAAATGGAAAGATGCTTAACAACACTACTTATTAGGAAAATGAAAATGAAAACCAAATCTTAGAATGGCTAGAATTAAAAAAGACTGACTGTTAAAATGGTGAGTTTGGGGGAGCTGGAATACTCACTGCTGGTAGGAATGTAACATGGAAAGACCCTTTTATATAGTTTGGCAGTTTCTTAAAAAGTTTAATATACACTTAACATGTGTTCCAGCCATTGCACTTATAGGTGTTTACCCAAGAGAAAAGGAAATATATGTTTATATGGAGACTTACGTAATAGTAAAACACTAGAAAAGGACCTAATTGTCCATCAACAGTGAATGGAGATAAAGTGTGGTATAGCTATACAACGGAATGCTACTCAACAATGGAAAGGGATATATGTCACAACATGGGTGAATCTCAAGTAATTGTGCTGAATGAAGGAAGCCAGATCCCCCCAAAATGAGTACATAATGTACAATCACATTTATGTAAAAATCTAAAACAGGCAAACTGTAAGACAGAAAGCTGTGGGTTAGGCAGGGAGGGGAGAGAGAGATTGTCCAGGGCCTGAGGAAAAAACTCTGGGAACATGCTCACAATAATGACTGGGGGAAGTCTGGGTACATACGTAGGTCAGTGCTTGTGAAATTATATATTTTAAGTATTTGTCCTTTTATGTTATAATTCTGTGAAATTGTTTAATAGGAAAACTTTTAAGATGGATAATAGTACAGTTGGAAATTGAAAGACAAAGTGAGACTTGAATATTTACATGTCACCAGTTATTATGAAATTTCTCTTAATTTTAGGCCTATTTAGTTGCCTCTCTTGTTTTTAAAGTTGAAATGTCATCTTCCTTTTCTTCCCTTCCCCTTCTTAAGGAGCGACAGTTCCTTCAGATTCTTTGTGTTCTTCTTCATCTATATCTGTCAGTTCGCTGTCCATGTGCTCCAGGCTGCGGGATTTCATAACTGGGGCAATTGGTAAGTCTGTTTACTTAACCAGCTTGAAGTTATTCTAATATTTGCTATAATTTTTGTTGTCCTAGTACGTATAGTTAACAGAAAAACCAGGTTAGCAGAAGCAAGTATATAAAAGCAAAAAATGGTAAAAAAACCACCACCAACAACAAATAAACTTTTAAAGAACAATTTTTCTAAGATATAACTTTTGGAGAAACTATCCTCTTTAAAGATTTTGTTCCTGTTTTTTTAGAACAGCATATTATATTTAATTTAAATAAAATGAATAAATATATGTATGTTTTAAGGAGATTTAGTTTAAATAAAGTGCATGTAGTGGACATTAAGAGGAAGAGAGTGATCACAGAGATAGGAGGACCAAAAAATTCCGGGAGAGAAAATATTATCAAAAATTTGAAAGAAAAGGACACCTGTTGTGTCTAAAGCAGTATTTTAGGTATACAAACACAGTTTTGTTTTTTGGTGGTACTGAAGATTAAACCCAGGGCCTTCACACTGAGCTTCATTCTTAGCCCTTTTTAAAATTCTGAGACAAGGCCTTGCTAAGTTTCTAAGTTGCCCAGGTTTGGGCTTGAACTTTTGGTCCTCCTGCATCACCCTCTTAGATTGCTGGGATTACAGGTGTGCACCCCACGCCTGGCTCACCCACTCCTGCTCATAAGCGTATTTACATGGATATTGGGGTTGAGTCATTGTGTACACTCACACACATCTTGAAACAGTAGGATCACTTGGAGGGCCCTCAGGAGCCCAGGTTAGAAGTAATGGCAGAGGTCTTTCTTCCTAACCCCCGGAGCGAACACCTCTTCCATGAGGTGTGCTGTGGTTTGTGCTGTGGTTTGTTCTGTCTTTGCAAGCTGAAATGGAAATGGGAACATGAGCGTGTGTAGGACTTCTGTTTAGTGTTTTATCTTTGAATTCAAGTGGTGTCGGCTGTCAGACACCTCTTGGAGTTTTGCAGGCTTCTAGTAGGCATAAATACGGAGGGCTTACAGAGATTGTAAATCACTTGTGGAAAAAGTAGTTTTCATTATTATGTTAAGTAGTGATTAGTCTTTGGTATTTGAGGGAAAGGAAGTGCATTAAATGTTTAAAAAACTGCTGGCTTTAAAAGCATAGTTTTTTAAATTGTGAAATTGAAGTAATTTCTCTTGCTTTTTTAGTTTAAACTTAGATGGAAAATATCAAAATTGAGCAGAACAGCATGTGACTAGTACTGAAGAGTCTTCTAATGAGGGGAATGTAGCTTGGCCTGTTTAAGATAGACCTTGTGTAATTTGAGTTTTATAATTTATTTTGAGGTAATTGCAGATTGACATACAGTTGTAAGAAATACATGTTGAGCATTTCCAGATACTCTTTACCATTCCCCCAATGTGAAATTTTGTAAAATATAAAAAGAAAGACCTTGACATTGATGGTAAGGCTACCCGACATTGCTGTTGCCAGAGGATTCCCTGTGTAGCTTTTTTATAGTCACCCTCACAGCTCACCTGTCCCTCCTCCTTCCTTACCCCAACAACCCTAATTTGCTGGTTATTTGGCCACCCTGGTACTGTGAGAGGATTGTGTAGATGCAGTCATACACTGTGCAGCCCTTAGGTTTTTTTCACTCAGTGTCATTCTCTGGAAAGTCATCCAGGTTGGTATATGTGTTGAAAGTTTATTCCTTTTCATTCTTGAGGGATAATTTGTGACTTGAATATACCAAAGTCTTTTACTCATTCATCAGCTGAACATCTGGATTGTTTGCAGTTTGGAGCTATTATGAAGAAAGCTGCTATGAGTGTTTATGGGCAGCTTTTCTTGTGAATGTAGTTTTTATTTCTTTGGGATCAGAGTGTAATTAGTTGGGTCATGTGGAAGTTGTATGTTTAGCTTATTTTTTTTTTAAATATTTTTTAAAAGCAACAAACTTTTCCGGAATGGCTTACTGTTTTATATTCTCACTGACAGTTATGAGTAATTCAGCCTTCTCATCATTGCCAGCAGTGGTATTATCAATTTTTTAAAAAATTTTAGCTATTCTGAAAGGTATGCAGTGATAGCTCATTGTGTTTGAATTTGCATTTACCTAATGACTCGTGATGTTGAACATCTTTTCATGTGCTTATTTGCGATCTTTGTCCTTTTTTTTTCCTTTTGGTACCGGGGATCAAACTCGTGACCTTCCGCTTGCCAGGCAGGCAGCGGAACCATTGAGCTAAGTCCCTGGCCCACCTTTGTGCTTTCAATGAAATGTCTCATGTCTTTTGCCTGTTTTCTAAATGCATTTTTGTAAGGTTGAGTTTAACAGTTTTTATATTCTAGAAAGTAATCCTTTATTGCATATGTGGTTTGCAAATATTTCCTTCCATAATTCAGCAAAATTTAAAATGAATGTTTAAAAATGTAATTATGAACTCACAAGCTTAAATAATACAATAATATGATGAAAACACTTGAGGTTCAGGAGTTTTGTTTGCTTTTGAATTCAGACTCTGCCATTTATCAGCTCTATATCTTTGGAGCTGAATGTCTCTGTGACCCAGTTCCTCATCTGTAAAATAGGGATTAAAAATAGCATCTGTCTCACAGGGTAGTTGTGTGAGAAGTAAATGAGTCAGTGCCTAGAAAGACCTTGGTTGTTGCTTGGTTCAGAAGTGCTGAGGATGGGTTAGGCGTTATGTTACTCTTTTAAAGTTGTGTGCATTGATTGACTTGTTTGCTTAGTTACACTTTACTTTTTTTTTTATTTTGTAGTGGTTGGATTTCATCCCTTACTGGTCTTAACCAAAATATTCCTGTTGGAATCATGATGATAATCATAGCAGCACTTTTCACAGCATCAGCAGTCATCTCACTAGTTATGTTTAAAAAAGTAAGTGAAATTTTATGGCTATAAGTAAACCTGATAAAATTCTCATTTTCCCATTTTGGTATTAACTCAGAATAACTTCAAGCCATTTTTTTGTTCTCATGCAAGCTTGCTCTTTGCGATTACTTTTTACAATTAAAAGTTATGTGTAGTGGTATTTTAGGAAATGATACCACATTTGGGAAGTACTTTTCAAAAAAGGGAATACAGGTTGAACATCCCTAATCTGAAAATCTTGAAATAAAATGCTCCAAAACCTGAAACTTTTGAGCCCTGACATGATCCCACAAGTAGAAAGGGCTGCATCTGACCTCACATGACAAGTTGTAAATGCAGACACGTTAGAAATATTGTATACGATTTATTACTCTTGGGTTATGTGCATAGGATGTGAAAAATAAATGAATTTCATGTTTAGACTTGGCCCCATCCTCTAGATACGTCATTATGTATACACAAGTATTATGAAATCTGAAACATGTTTGGTCCCAAGCATTTAGGATAAGGGTACTCAACCTGTATTTTTAAATCTTGAAGGCTTCTTTTACAAATTAAAGATTCAGTCATTTAAAAAATTTGGATCTTTTATATACTGTAATTTATTTTTGAATATAAAGCATATTGACCTGATTAGTAAACAAAAGTAAAGTTGCTGTATAAGATGTGTATTTCACTCATATTTAAAATATGAAGACCTAAATTGTCTAAGTCTAAAATGAGCTGGTGGGAAGTACAAAGCTGGGTTATGACATAAATTTTGTTTTTAGTAACTATTAGCTACGCTTTTTCTTGTAGAATTCCCACGTCTGTTTTTTAGTCTTAAATGAAAATCATTACATAGTGTACAGGATATGTCAATCCTTTGTTATAGATGTTTTTCTTGTGTCTTGGACATATATTTGATATTCTACATGTGTTCAAACATGATATAGAGAGAGACTCTGGGAATAACACCTATGTTATAGAATGATAGAGCCTTTTTGGTGGGTCCTACTTAAAAAAACCAAGTTCTTCAATTTCTTTGAATTATTACTGTCTGGTAATTTATACAGACAATGCATATAGAAATAATTGTATTTAAGATCACTTTACATTCTTGAAATGCTTGACTCATATATTTGCCTTTTATCCTTCTCAAAACCCTGTGAAGGCTAGGCTGTGTTTTTCCTGTTCATATTTTGCTACTTATTTTCTTTTAGAAGGTTTTACTTTTCTGCATTGAATTATTTGCCATCGAAACCAAGCTTTGTGAAGTTACTAAGTCCTGTAGCAGTGATGGCAAACCTTTTAGAGGTTCTAGTAGTACAAACAGTCCACTGCAGCACATGTGCCCAGAGGTTTAGCACTATTGTCCTGTAGCTTTTTTTGTTCACCTTTCCCCTCCTTGAGAACTGCAGCCTTCTGTACCATAGATGGCCCCTCTTCCTGGGCATTTATAATTGTGTTTCTCCTCCATTATTATTATTATTATTTGTTTTTGGTACCGGAGTTTGAACTCGGGTCCTTGGGCTTGCACAGCAGGCGGTGAAACCAGTGAGCTAAATCCCTGGCCCTCTCCTCCATTATTTTACCCACCTTGTAACTGTTCTAAATGTAGTCAACTCTCTCTTTATGCTATGTCCTCTTTTCTTTGGGAATTTCATCCTCTCTCATTGTTTTAGTGTCTGTCTGGACTTAAATCTTGGAAGAGATAATCGGAAGAGATGAGAGAGTTGGAAGTTTCAGAGTTTAGATTTTTGGATTAGTAGTGTTTAACCTGTGTTCCCTTTTCTCGGGAAATTGGAGATGTGGTGCAGTTTCCTGCACTTTTGTTGTGTCTTCTGCTAGGCTTTTCCATCTCCATTGGTGGTGTCACTGTCTCACAGTGAGGCATCATGAAGGCCTCACTTTCTCGTCAGCATCGGCTCTCCGTCCAGATGTCCTGACTCAGAGTCAGAAAATAATTAAGACCACATATCATGTGGTTCCATAAAAGTCCAAAATAGCCAAATCAGTAGGGCTAGGAAGTACAGTAGTGGTTGCCAAGAGGTGGGATACAATTGCTAATTTTATGGAATTTATTTTGCAGGTGAAGGAAATGTTCTGAAATTAGGATGTGTAGATGTTATTTTCACAACTCTAGGAATAAACCCATTTAATTTCATATTTTCAAAGGGTAAATTGTACAGTATAAAACATCTCAAAACAGGGAAGCTATTAAGAAGAAAACATTTATTTAATAAGTATCTCCCATGAATGAGATGCTGTGAAGCACTTTTTGTGATTCCATTTCACATTTATGTCAGTGCTGTGACTGCTCCTGTCAGTACTTCCATTACTTTCAGTTTAAAACTTTTTTTCATTATTTTTCTTAACTGCTTAGTATCTTTTCCATCTTTCTTTTTCTTCCTATTCCCAATCTTAGCTAATCTAGAAGTTTTTTTATAGGTCACCATCTTAGATACTTTCTTATCAATGTGACACAGTACCCAACACCCACAACTCTGAGGAGAAAAAGTTTATTTAGCTCTCAGTTTGTGGAGGTTTCAGTCCACAGTCGGCTGGCTCCAAGGCAGGGAGGCATTGAAGGGGAGAGACAGTCCATGATAGGCCAGGCAGGAGGCGGAGAGATATCAAGGGAGAAGGGAAGGAGACAGACCCTTCCAGGCCATGCCTCCAGTGACCCAGCTCCTCCAACCAGGCTTCACCTCCCAACGTCACATTTAGCTATAAACTCATCAGTGACTAATTTACTGATGACTGTCACGCACCCATGATCCAATAACCTCCCCAAAGCCCCACCTATGAATGGGTGAGGCTTTGGGGAAACATCTAGATAAAAAGTTTAACAGTCACTCATACCTCCCCCACTTCTTTCAGTCCATTTTATATGTAGCTACTGTATTCATCTAAAAACAACAATAACAGCAAACCAGTGCTGCGGATTTGTTATGTGGCTTTGGGTGGGGTTGGGGAATGGGATTATGGTTGTAGGGGAAAGGGATGTTGGGATCCCCACTAGGACTAGTGGCATTGTACTGTTCACTCCCCGCACATGCATCCTGTCCATTGCTGTGTCCTTGTCCCTGTCGGTGCTGTGCTTCTGAGCCATGGGCACACCATCTCCTCTGCTACAGGAAGACCAAAGAGTATGTCTCCAGACCCAGCCCAGGTGTTGCTGTTTCTTCCACACACTTTCTAATCACCTTGTGTCTTTAGGGTCATGTAATCCTCTGTTTTGTTTTTGTTTCTTTGGTACTGGGGATTGAACTTAGGGCCTTTCCACTGAACTACATCTCTAGCTCCCTTTTCACTTTTTCTTTTTTGGTTTTGAGACAGGGTCTTACTAAGTTGTTCATTTGCTTGTGCTGGGCTTAACACGTTCACACTGGGGACATAATTCATATGTCATGATGCTGGGCAACTAGAATCATTAGTGGTACATGCATGACTATCCCTTCGGGTGGCTTTTTATTAATTTTATTAGTAAGAAGACTGATAAAAGTGATTAGATCCATTTGTACCCCCAGTGGTACAAGCTCCCCGTTGGGAGAGTTGAGTCTGTGGGAAATGTGTTAAACTTGTGATCTTTCTGCCTCTGCTTCCCTGAGTGCTGAGATTACAGCTGTAGGCCACCTGGAGAATCATTTTTGGGGGAATTTACTGCTCTGTTGCTCACTTTGGGCCCTGAACATAAGCCACTTTATTTGTACTCTATGTAGTACACATATTCTGGGTACCCAGCTTGGTAGGTTCCTCCAGGTAGACCTGTCTTTTAGCATCAGAATTAAATGAGAAAAGCAAGTACTTTGCTTTGGAAATGTGCAACTTGGATTGAAATTCTGATGTCTTCACTTACAGCTCTGTCCCCTGAGACAAGTGTCTGTACCCACTTGGGCTTAGTGTCCTCTTTCCTCCCAAGTTGCCTGAGAGCAGGGACCTGGCTGGGTGCTTTCGGGCTGTGTTCTTGGCATCTGCAGCAGGACAAGGAAGCAATAGGAATGACTCCTTTCTTAGGACTAGCCCAAGGATGAAGTGAAACTGGCATAGCATAAGACCTCCACAATTTAAATTTTCTTTTTGATCTTCTTGACTCCTTTACCCTTATTATATTCCAGGTCTGGTTTAGGATTTATTTTTGTTCTGTTAGTAGGTTTTAGAGATCTTTTAAAGTAGTGAAGTCTTCTTTCTTTGTTTTTTGAAACAAGGTCTTGCTAAATTTTCTGGGCTGGCCTCAATTTTCAGTCCTGTCTCAGCCTCCCAAGTACCTAGGGTTACAAGTGTATATTGCCATTCCCAGCTATAAAGTTTTTTTAACACGTTCATAATGGGGCTGGAATTCGCTGCCTGGTGGTTTGAACCACAGGTGCTGCATGCATAACTGTCCTCTGCATGACTGTACTACCTCTACCACCAGTGGTACAAGCTTCCAGGTAGGACAGTCATGCACATACCACCGGTGATTCAAGCTGGTGGAAACCTGTTAAAGTATTTCTTTTGCTGAGATTAACAGTGACTACCAATCATTATAATTTAGTACAATAAGTTCCTGATTTACAAACATTTGAGTTACGGACTTTCACAGATACGAACAGGACTACTACACATTGCTTTTGTGGATATGAGCAAATCACAGAAGTAGCTCATGTGTCTGCCAGACATTGTCACAGTTGTGCTGCTCTGTGCTTACTGTACAGTGTGATAGTGTATAGTAGTACACTGCTCAATTAGAGCCCAGAATGTCTAGAAGAGGAAAAGCGGTAGTGATGTGGAGGGGATTGCTGTGAAGCAGTAACCATGGAAACAACAGTGAAAATAGTTGAGAGACTGGACAGAGGTGAAAAGATGGTAGATGTCACTCAATCTTATAAATCGTTCAGCCACTGGCACAATTCTAAAGAACAGGGACAAGATCATAGAACATGTGAAGTCTGCGTGCCAGCAAAGTCAACAATAATATCAAAAAAGCATGGTCCAGTGACAGAGGAGATGGAGAAACTTCTTCATGTATGGACCAGCATTAG